TTATTAGGAAGAGAGGAAGCCAAGTTTACTGTCTATCTCTACTGAGAACATCATCAGCGATAATCAAGCTGATGATACAACAGGAGAAAGAGAAAGAGATCTAACACAGACTCTCGTATTCAGGCACTCCGAAGAGTTCAAACACTATTTGCAACCATACTATTAGCATGTTGTCATAACTCCTTTGTCCTCTGAGAGTTAAGACGGAATCCCATGATTGAGCATTAGGTAGTGGCCGTGGAGAACCAACAGCCATTTTCAGTTCAAGGTTTGCGATTCAGATTCTAATAAAGAGTAGAGAGGAAGTTTGGTCTCGGCCCATAACATGGCTCACGAGGTTCGCGCTGAGCTACAATAAGGGGAAAAGACCAAACATTTATTTCCACTTGCAAACGAATAATTGTTGTGTTTTCCACCTAAGGGCCAAGACTGAAGTGAGTACTCCAGTGCCCGCAGTACTCTGTGCCCTGCCCACAACCAGGCCTACTGCAGAAGGGCTTAAACACAGATTTTGGATTGAGAATAGAATTCGATCAAACGAGCTGAGGGACAAAGAGAAGAGTGTGTCTAGATTTGAGAAAGAAAAGGTGGGGGATAAAAATAAGTACATAAGGGAAAGAGCTTCATTACCAAGGAAATAAGACTAAAGATATGAATTCATAGAACTAACTCGATGGTCAAGAAATCTGCTCACTCTCCCTACTGTCTCTAGACAAAGCCATCTGTAAACCAGCCTACATGAGCTGCTGTTTCTTATTCTTTATGTCTTTGTAACGCATGCAGATGAAAAAATTTGACATTTCCCAAGACTAAGAGCACAGGATTACTTTTTTCTAAATGTATAACTTTAATGTTTCCTGCAGCAATTTACAAGCCTTCCATAAAACTCGTCTCCATCATGAAAGTAGAAGTAAAGAAGAAAGGGAAAGAGACAGAAAGAGGTCTTAGATGGTCTTCTTTCAGTATTTAATCAGCTAAAATTATTTGTGGGAGAGAGGGTGTAAACAGGGAGGGGGGAAATGAGTTATATTGATTAATTGCTATTTTTATTGCTATTACTTACCAAATAATATCCTCCTTTTCCCATGAAATAGATTGAACTGCTCCCTTAGTCCATAGGAGTCCCAGAATGTTCACTTCCTATACTCAGAATAATTTTTGTTCTGATGATCTTCCAAAGTACAGTGACATGGAAGAAGGTTAAAAAAAACTAAGATATTTTTTATCTATTAAGAAACGTGAGAGCCTGTTGTAGGTTAGGAATATGTAGAATGGGGGACAGTCAGCCTGGCTTGAGGTGGAGTTTGTCCTGTCCACAGAGAAATGCTGGCTGTGCTGGGATCCCCCGCAGACCTTTGCGATGTGTGTCTTGGCTGTGGATGATGAAGGTCTTCTGGGCCACATCATGGAAACGCCATTTCCTTTTTCTCTCCTCCCACGCTTGTTCTCACTCTCGGTCCCAATACAAAGTCACTGCTAGGGGAGTAGGTAAAGAACAGACGGAAGAGAAGAGAGGTCTGTCTGATCCATGTCCCTGGAAAGGGGCCCAGAGC